GCAAGGGTTTTGTTTTGTTAGGGTTAACTTCAAGCCTGTTGCCAAAGACCTATTGTTTGGGAAGACGTCCCTCCGTATCACATAATCCACCATCATGTTGAATAATAGAACCGAAAGCACCTCTCCGTAGTTAGCTCTGCTATTGATGTCAGGCTAGTCCAACAAAAACTCTTCTGCTCTGATTGCGCCTTTAGTACTTTCATTCAGTCCTTCAAACAGACCGATGATCATCTGTGGTGCTCCACAGTCTTGTAGTATGCCACAACGACTGAAATGTGAAGAGTCGAAAGTTGCTCAGATGTTCAGGAATGTTGCATGCCAAGGTAGCTAGAAACTCCTTCCCTATTCTTATCTTCTTTAGTACGTCTATGTCATGTAGCTCGAAACCCTTTAGATTTAATCGAAACGAATTGCCAATTGCGTTCTTCAGCCTTCGGAGGAGGATTCATACGAATACGTTTTCCAGCACAGGCAGTAGCGGGATCCCACGGTAGTTGGCGCAATCAGAACGATTCCAGCGCTTAAGTCTAGGAATAATATCACTTTGTTTCCAGTTCTTAGAGATTTACAACGATTTGCAACTTCCTTCCTCTAATAGGTGCTTGGAAATTCGATATTGGCCGCAGGGGCTGTAGGGACCCGTAGTAGTACATGTACGGTGGGCTGTTTCAACAAAACCTTACGGCAGGGAAACTTCCGGCTCGCTAAATTTATGAATTCGACGCTTTGCAAAACAAGAATGAATTTGCACCGATCACTGGAGCGGTTTATGGAAGAAACGTGACTCAATAAAGGAATGTTATGAAATTATTCTAGCATCTGTATAATGAAAATGGAAAACATCAGATTGCATAACTACTTCATAAAGCGCCACATGAAGGAAAACGTGTCATTAAGAAAAATAATTTAGCAACGAACAGCCGGGTATCAACTTGTTCGAGTGCGCTCACTAACCATGGAAAAATTTAAACCTGCCATTGCCTGCGCTACAATTACAATAGTATTCCGCTATTCTTAACGATCCCAATGTCAATAACGATAGATCGAAGAAATACTGACACGAACGAATCAACTATGGCTATTACTTGACTGCTCGGGTTATACCTAGGATCTTCTATTCCCATTGGATTGCAGGAAATATACGCTTCAAGAGGTCTATCCATGACTTATATCAACTGATCACGCTTTGCAGTAAGGATTCTTTGAATCTACATGCTCCGCCTTACATCTCTTGCATTTTTTGAGCTCTGCATTGACGCAATGTGTTGCCGAAAATGAATAGCGGCTGCATTACAATGATTAAATGGCTATCTGACTAACTACCATGAAAGAGCAACAAAGTTCGACTGCAGAATGCTATTCATACAACCGCTTTACCTCTCCCTAAAGCCTGTTTTTTTTTAATTCACCAAAAATAACCAGACGGTATGATCCTAACATGAATTGGCAGTGGTAAACTTCATATATTACAACGCCTTAATTCTAGCCACAATTTTCTGCCGATATGGCGTAGGCTGTCAGAATTATCTTTGTCCTCATCGAGAAGGGCATGGTTCCTCAATATATCAAGGTTCTATTCTAAGAAAGTAATTGATACAGACCGAATACTTAACAGATCAACCATACCTGCCTTAACAGATCAACCATATATATATATGTGACGTGGACGGAAAACTCTCTGCATAATGTGTCTGTCGTTGGTGATGGCTCACTTAGTTCGGATTCGACATAACCCCAGGAATATATATACATACCAATGAAAAGCTGATAATAATCGTTTGCTGTAGCACTAAAATTGAATTTCAAACTATGCAAGTCATATGTCAGTCAGGATATGTGGATCTCCAGTTCATCGTTAAATTCCTAGGGTTATGTCGAATCCGAACTAAGTCATCACCAACGACAGACACATTATGCAAAGAGTTTTCCGTCCACGTCACATTCACCTTCGACTTGCAGTCTTCGAGAATGTCATGCAAATGACGTGACGAGAGGTCGAGATTCCTGATAAAAGTAAATTGGGAGACAGAACAGACTTGCTTCAGAACAACTGTCAGAATAATCTGGTAGCACAAGCCAGCCGTGGTTGCAGATGGTTTCAAACAGCGTCGCAGCACCTCATAGTCGCTGACCGAAATGATTTAGAACACGGGAGAAACCTGTCACCGCAGGGACAAGAGAGGAGACTCAAGACTATCATCGAAGCAAGCTCGATTGTCCCAGGTGGTCCAATGTTCAAACGTAAAGACGCCTTCTTTCCCCTGGAAACGATCAGTTCGACATGCCTGGACCAAGGCAAACAATCATTTTGGTGTTTTGTCAAATAAAAAGTCGGTGTCATTCAGTGTTCAGACCAACAAACAAGTGCTACAGATTGCTATCGTCAAAATTTACAAGCACAGATAAACGAGGGATACGATGTGAAATTTTTCGTCGATTCAAGTTCAGACCATTTCAGTTGGATCAGATTTTGATCTTAACGAACACAGCAGTAGCAGCATTTAAAAATTTAGAAGTAAAAATGAATTGCAATATCTCATCGTTTTCTAGCAGTCGCTTCCTGCTAATTATCTCTTGCATATATTCAAGCTGGTTTCAAATGCCTGAACGTTCCTTATTCTAGGTAATTCGAAGATTTACGATTAACGTTACAGACGAACCGAAAGTTTGCTCTGTAACCTGCAGCTAGGAATAGACGTCGTGTACGGTCATTAAAGTAGGATTATCTGTTACAATGGTTAAAAGTGAGAAATACGGGCTTAATTCCTAAGCGCAAGTAAAGATTGCTTACTTTTATACCTGTGAAATTTTAAAGTTTGCTTGACTCTTGATGAACTGCTAGTTTTTTTTATTTATTCTTTCTGTCAGTTTTGCAGTGATGATGCTGTATCGTAAAGTGAACGTACACGTTGGTAATATTTGATTTTCGTGTTATTTTGATGTTTAGCGCTGAAAATCTGTTTCGCTAGTATATGGTGAAACTTGTGATGTTATATAGATCGATGTTTAATGTCTGCTTTTTAGTATATCTGCGCTAAAATGGAATGCCGCTTTCAGCGCATCTTTCCGCTGGAATGAACAAGGAAAGGTGTGGTTCTTCAGCCTTGTGCTGTGCTCTCTGAATAATATGGTAGGTACATGTTTCTGATTGACGAAAAGCATTTTTGGCAAATGCTTGCATCAGTTTTGTTTACATACGGTAAATCTGATTTTTGCTTAAAGAATTCAGATAATTGTAGTAGCGTTCAAAACTTGTATAATCATAAAGCCGATGGAAAGATTGAAGTTAGGATCTTTGTTTTACTACGGAACTGCCCAGAAACTATAATGCAGGTGCTCTACTTTACTTCCATTTTGAAGAATATGGATTTTCTTAAAACATGGATCTCGTTTTTTTAGCTGGCTTGCTCGTAACAGCGCATTTTTTCCGATTGTTGCATCATCTTTTTAATGTTGAACCCCCATATTTATTTTAAGCCTTTTATACTGCAGGCCGGGGAGCCGTTTTCTTGGTAATTCAAAGAATGCGGGGCGTCAGTAGTAAGGGATATACATTGAGAAATCTCTGAAGTTTTGTTGATCAGTTCGTCAAAAGTCTGACAGATGAGAATCCCACGATACGTGTCATGAATAGCATATGGTGTGTGAAAGTAGCAGAGGAAATGCTCTTTTGTTGCTGCCATAACTTCTGTTTTCTTAGACATCGTCGTCGATCTTTTTGTTCAATTTTAGATTCGCATGTTTAGGTTTAAACACGCTTTAGCACTGGGAAACGGCATTGTTCGCAACTTTACAATGAATCAAGAAAAGGTTGCACCGGCTGTGCCGAGCGGTGAAACTGCGAAGACTGCCGTCTCAAATAACGTAATGACCCCCGAATTTCGAAAGTTATATCGGTACGGATGCATATGCCATTCTAACCATAAAAGTGTGCACCTTGTTCGACCATAAATTTGTTGTCTAGTACTTGTGTGGAATGCGTTAAACGGCTGGATCAATCGACAAAGGATAAAAACAGTGTTAGAGAAATTTTCCTGCCTCAAACGATCGCCGTGGCTACCAAGTGAATACTGCTGTGACATCTGGTTTTTTGTGCAGCATGTTTTTTCTGACCTTAGATTACGCTGTTGCTGTGAGAAGATAATGCGTGACTGTTCCGTAGATATCAGCCGTCAAGCGGAAGATCTAGTGTGGAAGAAATGCTTCTACGAGCCGATTCAGCACGTGCGGAAGTGCAAAAAGATTAATGTTAGTGTTCGGTCAGTCCCGACCCGTCTACCATAGTCTTTCAGGCTTTTCCTAGCGAATACGAGACGACGTACGCAATGCTGTTGTCGTCTGCGATTGGCTACTACAGTGGACTGTTATCCAAGCTTCAGATGCAGTGCCACATTGACTTGGAACAGGTAATCGATTTTCCATTTGTCCACAAGGACCCATCACGAACCACTGGAGAGATACACGTCGACCCAGCCAAGGCGCAGTGGGCGACGGACGCTGCGCATCGCATTCTGA